AATCTGATAAAAAAACTTCGGGAGGGGGGAGGGTTATGTACGTTATCTAGATCGTCAGAAGCTGATTTTGGTGTGAAGCCATAACATTATTTTCCCTGTACAATTATCACCTGGTCAGTAATTTTGTAGATTACCGTCCTTTGTTTTTTGATATTGTCTACAATCCTACAAATCTTCTTTTGATAAGCAGCGAGAGAGTATTTCCAACAGAATCCACTTATCAACTCTTCGAAAACAATTTTCCATCAAATCGAGTAAGCTGATCATGATTATGATTATGGCTCATGATATTAAACAGCTAAAAACTTGGCTTATCAATTAGAGCTTTGTATCCCCTCAAAAACACTTGTGAACTATTTGTACTTTGAACATATCGTTGTATTCGATTTCGTGACAGTGTAGCTTTTGAAAGTTTTTACTAGTAGCACTTGATTATAGGTCTTTTCATGATATTTACATACGCAAGATTGCTAATTTCAAAAGTCTGGAATTAAGTTGCAGGTAATAGTGTTCATTGCAAACAATAAATCAATAAAAGTTCTTGGGAGATGAGGGGTGTTTGCTAGGGAAAAAATGCTTCTCGCGGGAAAAGGACCTCATCACTTGACCTCATTACTCATTGTTATTGACTCATGGTTCTCAAATGCCGGTAAACGAAAAATAAATATTAGCATCTTCCTTGATCTAAAGAAGGCATTTTAAACTGTGGATCATAAAATTCTGCTCTCTAAGTTACCAAAGTATGGAATAGGAGGAACCCCTCATCAGTGGTTTACATCATACCTAACTGATAGGATACAATACTGCCAAATCAATGGTTCCAGTTCACAACAAAAGAAGGTTCAGTGCGGTATTCCCCAGGGTTCGTGCCTTGGGCCCCTCCTTTTCATCCTATACGTAAATGATTTTGAGCGATGCTTAGAGAAAAGCTCAGCAAATATGTATGCAGACAACACTAGCATAACATGCTCTGCAAAAGACATTGAGGAACTGTGCAATGACTTAAAACTGAGGGTAAGAGCATTGCAGAGTGGATGCGGCAAAATAAGCTTAGTCTGAACACCAATAAAACTGAATATATGGTCATTGGTCATAAAAGACGAATTAACCATATCCAGGGGGAGATAAACGTGGAAATAAATAGAGAAAAAATCCAACGAGCCCATGAAGTAAAATATCTCGGGGTCACTATCGATGAAAACCTATCTTGGAACAAGCAGTACAAGCAGGGGCGAAACTACCGGGGGGGTGTGGGGGTGTGTGACACCCCCCCAATCCAAAAAATAGTCGATTTCGCAGGGCAATCGAAGATTTCGCAGGGCGCCAAGAAGAGCTTTGTTGCCACGCAGAAATGCCACCTCTGAAGTTCGTAAAGGGCCGTTCACGAATTTTGAAATGGAAATATTATATTTGTTATGATATGACCGGGAGACTCCCGATTTCAGAGGTCATCTTCCGACCTCCCGACAATTAAAAAATCCTCCCGATTTTTGAAAAAAAACTTATAATAAAAATAAAAAGCTGGTATAACATAAAGAAGAATCAAGATCACTGTCAACAGTGCAACTTTTTCATAACGGACGAAACGATTCGATGAATTCACAACATTACAATAGTTACGACATCGGATAAAGCCAGACGCCAGACTGCCAGAAGCCAGACGGCAAACTTTTTAACATTTGTTGTTGTTTATTCATCATAAAAGATAACCTTTCTTATAATTTCAAACTAATCTAAGTGACATAAAATTGCCAAAAATTTTTGTAGGAGTTAAATCGGGGTTCGCATGGGTTCGCATGGGTTCGCACTGATTGCAAGAAAACATTTCCTATAAAAATATAATCATAATTGTGCACAGTGGCGTTTCTAAGCCCAGAACTTTTTCGGCCTCTTCATTTGTCCCCCCTCACTTTCTAAGAAAGTTCTTCGATATTACTGACCTATTGATTACGAAGAACTGTTTTTCTATTAACATATTACAGACAGAGAAAATAAAGAATCCTGAGTCATTTTGAGGCCTCAGAAATGACAAAATGTCAGGAGCTTCCGGGGGCTTCGTCCCCTGGACCCCTACCAGGGCGATGCCCTGGACCCGCTGGGGGGCTCAGAGCGCTCCCCAGACCCCCAGCTCTAATTTTTCGCTCGCTCCGCTCGCGATGTCCCCCGCTTTTCTTTCTCTACAGGTTGGAAGGTATGGAAACTGCACATTTCTGTTCAGGAAAAAAAATTCTCCCAATCAAAACAACATCTTCCTCTGTCATTCACAACTACGTGCAATCTGAGATGAAAGGTTGCCGTTTCTTTCCTTCCCCAACGTCTAACACTAGAGTTTTAGCATGACATCCCCCTTCCTATTTTTCCCAATAAACAATCATATTTTCAATAAACATCAGTTCTTTTAGCACAATAGTATTTTGCTAAACTTTTGTCTGAAAGATGCTTTTTAGCCCTTTTACAAGGTATAATTTCAAAAAATTTCTTCACGTCGGACCCAACCATGGTGGGTCCTCCTACCTCACTAAACTCGACTTTTAGCCCCACTGGGCTAAATTTTGTTGCGCTGTCTACATCATGTACCCCCTCCCCCCCAATTAGCTGTTTATTAGCTTAATTTTGCAAACCAACATTAAATGAAGTGAATATAAAAAAACAATTCACGCTCACGTAGAGAAATAGAAATTTCATAGGCAATGAAGTTTCAAGTTTGTTTCTATTGCTTAGAAGTTTGTCCTTGGTAAAGACCAGTGTACACTGGTAAAGTTTTCACTAGTAACCTATAGACAAACCCAGGCACGTAAATAATAGGGGGGCGTGGGGGGCGTAACGCCCCCCCAAAGTTTGGAAAATCCAGTTAAAGTTGGAAAACTTAACGGTTGACTTGGAATTTTTTTCTTAGGACCAAACTTGTGAATTTTATATTTTAAGAAGTTTTTTTATTTTAAATGTAAAAATTCTAAACATTGAAATTCACAGGCTGAAGCTGACCCATCCACTAATCTTTTTCTATTGTGAATCCCATCTCTACTGGATCCAAATTGCACAATTGCCTCGTTTGCTTTCTTTCTGACGGGAGTTGAAACAAATTACAAACAAGCAAGGTGAATTTCCGCATAAGAAACTTGAGACTTTATAGTTTGGAATAATAATTCCCGTATTGATCAGAAAATATTAGAGTGGGAGTTTTTTAAGAAACTACGAGTAGTTAATTCAATAAAAGATTAATAATCTTTCAGTGCTAAAAATTCTCAACGCTTCTTATAAAAATCGAGTTTATGCTAAACTCCCCCTGTTATTTGTTAACGCCCTTGACCCTTATCATAAATTCCTATGACAAAACTGCTGTAAAGCAAGAACACATTGCAAAACTGCAGTAGAAGTATTTGATCAAAGAAGAGTGTTTCATCTTTCGAATCAGGCATATGCACAAGTTTGTTCTCAAATCATCATTTCAATTGTAAAGAATGAAAAGGCATTTGGCCCTCTGAAAATTGATCAATTGATCTGAAAGAATACTACTAATCATTAAGTATATCTAATATCAAATGTCTGTTTCATGTTAATCAAAATTTAGAGACTTAGGCTTTTATGCTTTAGGCTAATTATTGAGTAAAGTTTTGGTAATTATAAAGAAAATAGAACTATGGTGTTCGGGCTATTTACAAATACAATTTGGTAGGTATAGTAGATTTACTGGTCAAATGAAAAATTTCTTACTTAGATTGGAATTTTCATCCTTCCACGCCCCCCCAAAATTAGCAACTTGTTTTCGTCCCTGGACAAACCGTTGCTACTAGGTCTGCAGGGCACCACTCAGTTTTGCAGGGCAGAAACCCTTTTCACCCCCCCAAAACTATTGGCCAAGTTACGCCCCTGAGTACAAGAGGCTCAAGTGTAAACTTAAAAGTGGTCTTTCTTCGTTGAGGAAACTTAAAAACATACTCCCTCAGTCGAAATTGGACCAGGTTTACAGGGCACTTTTCGAGAGCCATCTAAGATACGGTGATGAATTATGGGGAAGTCTGTCCGCTAAAAAACTTGAACATCTTCAGCGTCTTCAAGACAGAGATCAAACATTAATTGAAAGTGCTAAATTTGAGGACGGGTGGATCTGTACATGGCTCTCAGTTTCGAATCTAATTAAATATGACAGGGCCATAATGACGTACAAAATGATGAATGGTCTTTGCCCTGACAGTCTTAAAGGTAAATTTATTACTAGATCAGAGATATCCAGGTATTCGACAAGGAATCAGCTTGATATTGACATCCCAAGGCAAAATTTGGAATTCTCAAAGGGAAGTTTCTTTCATTCTGGGGCCAAAACATGAAATGAGATTCCAAGAAACATCAGAATGAGCCCCACAATTTCCATGTATAAAAGAAACTTGAAAGGATTCCTGCAAAGTTAATAAATTCCCTAAACAAAACACGATCCCTAGGTAGAACAGCAACATCTTTATTTTATATATATTAAGGAAGTAATTGTAATAGAAGTAGTTTATTTTATTTGTATTATAGCTGATAGGGTATTCGTGTGTAAAGATTTTTTAAATTTAAATGAAACAAAGGGCGTGGTGCCGGGTCCCCTTTTGTCCCTCCCACTTTTCCCGGGCAGGAGCCGCTACTGGTGGGGAGTGTATTTTTTCAAATTTACAATTTGCCAGCCAGTCCAATAACTATGGCTAGGATTGCAGCATTTTATTGGATTTTCATAGAAACACGAAAAGGGCGCGTAGCTCGAAAGTATTCAATTTTTCCTTGCTGACAATTTCATGTAAAATATGCTTTTTGAATCTTCTAATCGTTTATGTTAGCACTATCGTATCACTTGTAATTATTTAAAATATACTGATAATGAAATTTTGAAGTTGAAGTTGAAGTTGAAGTTGAAGTTGAAGTTGAAGTTGAAGTTGAAGTTGAAGTTGAAGAAGATTGTAGTGCAGTTGCAGTTGGGTGGACTGAACATATTTCATGTATGTGAGGCCATAGTATGTGAAACCGAGACTTTTTCAATATGTGAAGGCAGATATTGAAAATCGCAGCAAACTGGCAACAGAGTGCATGTATTCGTAATGGACCTGCTGCTTCTGATGCGGAAATGGGTAAAGGAAACAACCTACTTTGTCATCCTAAGACGATGATAACTTATACTTGCTATTATGACGGCTGTAAAGGCCGATGATGACTTTGGATGGGCAGACTTCGCCTCTTTCGACTCGAAGGACAGCGATTCAACATTTGCGTCAAACAGACTCACGTTGAGCGATAGTGACAATAATGGGATTGAAACAGTAGCAAAGCCATGTAGTGAAACAACTAGTCCTCGAACACTTTTACAGGGTATTTTTGAAAGTACCGAGACCGGTATTCAAGCCAACAGCAAATTAAACAGCGTGACCTGCCTTGAAAGCCGAATATTACATTCAAAGTACGCTATTATTTTATGTTTTCACGACTGTCTACTTCGAATAATGGTATTATGTACCTTACATTAAAGGTTAAAGAAATAAATAGAAGGAGAATTAAGCATCTGACTTCTCTGTCTATTAAATAGCCATTCCTTGCTTGTTTGGATATGATAATAATAATAATTCATTTATTTAAGGTTGGCACTTATTGCTAGCTCACATGCTAATTTAAGCCATCCGAAAATTGAATACAAGATACTATAATAAATTAAGTCTAAATTACAAATGAGAAAATACTTTTTAAGAATATAACTATAAAAATCCTACATTACCTATCACAATTTTCAACTGCAATCAAAATCGTAGCTTTGAATTTTTCTTTTAAAGTTGTTAAGTGTCTGGGACTCTTTTATAGAAGATGGCATAGCATGCCATATCCTAGATCCAAGAAAACATGCACTTTCAATATGATACCCTGTTGTTTTTGGTTATGGTGCAAACAAATTTCTGCAGCTTCAAAGGTGGTAAGGTACATCTTTTGGAACAAAAATTTGTTTCATGAAACTAGGATTGAGACTGCTTTGAGTTTTAAAGATTTCGATAGCAAGCAACTTTAAATTTCTGGTGAATGGAAACCAATTCTGCTTTCTTCAATAGAACTATCTTTGTATGTGATTCTAAGGGCTCTCTCGTGGATTTTGTTTATTTTCTTAATAACCAACCTGTCATAAAACATCCAGATAAGTGGACAATAGCTAAACTGGGACGTAACATAAGTATTTATCATTATTAACTGTTCTGTTAAGTTGCTGCATCAAGGCTGTAAAAGTAGCCTTTGTTTTTTTGCATCTCCTTCCTTTATCCAAAGAAATATGGTGATAAGATGGAAGAAAGAGCCATCATAATCTGTTTCCTTTCATAAAACATACAAAAATGCAAAAGCTTCACATGATGAGCACAGATACAAAACACTGTTTTCTTCCATAATGATTTTCCTATTTAATGTTGGTTGTTTTAACCAAACAACTTTTGCTCAACTGGTGTGTTGCCACACAGTCTGTAATGTCTGTAATGAATTGAACCTTTAGTTTCTGATAAAATGCGTGTACCTTCATTTCTTGCTTCCTACTTCAATAACAAGCATAGTATTTTGGCTTTTGGAGACAAAAGCTGTATATTTGATATGCAATAATTAAATTCCTTTTCATCATACCAGCCATGCCTGTTGGAACCAGGGGGCATGGGGGGGACCAGACCCCCTAATGATTGTCAAACTGTAGTATATTTCCTTTTAAACAGTGTATTAGGTGAGAAGGAATACAATGGGTAGTTCCCCCTCCCCAATATGAATTTCGTTCCCACAGCACTGATACCAGCAAGGTACCAAAATGGGTTCAGTCTCCCTCCAGTAGGCGGACATGATGCACAAATACATACCACAATTCATTTCCATATTTTTACCAAAATTAAAGCAGTTCATAAGGTGTGTGCTTTATAAAAGGTAGCAGTGCAATTGAAATTCAATAAGCAAACAACAGAAAGTTGGTCTGCAATAATTCTTTTCAATTTACCAGCTACACAGAAACAAAAAAGAATGCATAGCATTGTAGACAAGGCCTTTCAAAATGTTAAAAACATCAGAAAACCGCCTCTAGTGTGAAATTTCTTATAAATGCAATGTGGCAATCATAATGACAACCAAAGGTGCCAAAATGAATGTTTGACTGTGCTGTTTTGACATGGAATGTCCCTTTTATTAATCAACAATGTTGTTTTTATTTTATTATAGGGTATGGAATAACTGCAATTCATGGAATAATTTAGAGCTCATGTCAAGTGTGAATTTGGACAATTCCAGTTGGCAAAGTTCATTTATTGACTCAGTGAAAGGATTTTTAGAAGATAAGGTATGTGAAGTTTGCACTTATGTTATTTGTATTTGTAGAAGTTGAGATTCCAGTTAATAAATGTTGCTATTTACTTGCAACTATTGTTGTATAATGGTTTTTGTTGTTGTCTGATCTGAATTTTAATTATTAATGGTCAAAAATGATGATCACAAATCATTGATCACATACTTTTTCAAATCATCAAAGATGTTTTTATTTTGCTATGGTTTAGTATGACAGTGATGTCTTTCAGGATTCTGAAGCATGCAGACTTATTCCTGAAAAGTTGGAAATATCCTCCTTTATTCATTGTTTTAACTTCCACAAATTTTCACATCATGGAAAACGATCAAAAAGTAACCAGAGAACTGAAGTTTCACAACAGAATAAAAGCCAGGCAACAAATATTAACCCATTTCCTGCAAACAAACTTGATGATTGCAAACATTGGCAATCGAGCAATTCAATTGTTGAAAGTAGCAATATTTTAAGTAGCAACAGTGCTGAAAATCTTGTGGTGAAAGAAATAGACAACATTTCAATTACAAGCACTGAGAGCTCATGCAGTGGCATCATCATTGATGGAAGTGATGAGAGCAATTCAGATAGTCGGATTTTAGAAAAATGGAAACAAATAAGAAGAGAAAGCATTGCTCAAGGGAAGCCAGGTAATTTTTTATTTTGATATGCTCCTACTGTTTAATATAAGGAATAATTTTGAATTTAATTAATCTTGTATAAGTTCTATTTACTTTTCTTGTTAGTAGTAGCTTTTATTTCAAGGTAACTTGTAACAGCTAGCATCAATAAAAGTCTAAGGCAGCAAAAGTTTGTAAAAACTTTGTTAAGTGTAGTAAATTGACTGAAATGGCTTGCTTCTGACTGTTGATAAGCCATGGGCACCACATTACATATTGTATTTAACAGACAGCCATGTGATTTTATTTAATATCATGCTTGCCAGGTTTTGGTGTCTTAAGAAACCATTTTTTGTATTCATTGCATTGCAATGGCTCAACACAAATTTATTGATACGACTTTGACGACACCAGCACTACCCTGTCACTACCCTGCACTTTGTCACTACCCTGCAAGCAGAGGGAATGTACCAGCTCCTAAAAACGCAATAGTATATGCTTAGTGCTCCTTTTAGTTTTGGATAAGTTAGAGATTTTCTTGGTTTACCCTCAACCTAGAACAGTCTGCTAGATAGCTGCGAGCAGGGAGGGGAGGGAGGGGGAGGGAGACACTTGGTCAAATATTTGGGGTGCAAGAATATTGTTTTAATAAGATGACATCAAATTTTCCGATCGTTTGACTGCAACTTAAAAGCATCATCTACTTTGGGGGCCTATTTGACATTTGTTTTGTCAAATATATTGGGAAAATCTATTTGAAAAAGAATATTCTGACCAAAGCAATGGATAAAATATGTACTGGGTGCATTAAGGCTGTAAGGCAAAAAAGCATTGTAAAGAAGTTGTAAACCTTTGTCAGCGCAAGAGATGGGGGAGTGGCTTATTCAGGATAGACAGCTTATTTTAAACTCGATCCCAGAGTTGGAGGCCTTTCAAAAGAAATTTTATATCAAATTTCAAGGGAATCCTTTCTAGTCATGTTGCATTGGAAGAGGTCCAGTTGCCCTTCAACCCCCCTTTATTTCCCAGCTGCTAAGGAATCATTCTCTCCTTTAAGGGCTTTGATATTCCACTAATGTTGCAGCAATAATTTGTTGTTAGTTCTTTTTCGAAATTGAATTCTATTCGGTTTTAGACAAGAATCCACTCCAAAAAGTTCAAAACTGGAGATAAAATATTTCTTAAATACCTTAAACCTAATGGATAAGAACCTAATGGATTAAGAACCTACAGGTTAAACTTATAAAATTTTACCCCCATTTTGTAACGACTCCTCCACCCTGAAATTATAAATAGGCTACATTAAAATTACATTAAAACTCTAACGACTTCGTCGTTGTCATTGAACTTTTAACTGATGTTATCGTCGTCATCGTATATTGCCTTGTCAGATTCTGACATTGGCTTTCACAGCATGATGTAAAGTTCTGTTTTCTGACAATCGAATAATGTCTACGCCTCTTATATCTAAGCATTTGCCTATCCAACCGAGAAAGTCTGTCTCTGTCTTCCTCTATCTCCTTTTCTTCTACTTTCTCTATTACCACACAGTATTCCCTGATACCTGATTTGTATTTAACTGATGTTATAGATGTTTTAAAATAACTATATAAATGCAGTATTTAGCACTCTGCTCACTATTTCAATATTCGCAGGCTAAATTGTTGTAATGTTCATATTTTACTTAAATTCAAGTCTTCGATAGACTCCTTTTCGCTCAACTTTCATAATATGCTTGAAGTTTGAAATGGAACAAAAGAAATTGGTGAAAGAACACATTTAGGTCCCATTTAACTACAATCCCGGACAAAAAATGGTTGAGACTTTTCAAGGAAAGCTTACATTTTCACTTTCTTTTAAAAAATAACTTTCCCCCCTCCCCAATTCAATGTGGAATGCATATTTTGAAGGAGAAATGATAGAACTGCAAATCCAACATTGCTTTGGGGGGAAAGGGGAAAATTCGAATTTACAGGGGCAAGGAAAAGTAGAAAATTACAAAAAAACTAGAACTTTTTGCAGGCTGGGCTATAGTCTCCGTTGTCAGGAAAAATATTGCTGTGAGAAAGATTTGCGCCGTTGTTACTTTGATTGATCTTTTGAAAATTTGCTGATATTTTTTTAGCTGGTTGCTCAGCTAAATGCCAGCCAATCATTCCAGTACTGGAATCACGTCGCACATGCGATGTTTTTAGGGACTGCACATTTGCGATGTTTTAGGAGTCCTCATCTGTTTTGTATTTGTTTTAAGCGTGAAAATATGATTTCAGGGGCAAACAAAGCGGCTTAAGGCCTGCCCTGCTTGTCAAAGAAGCCGGATCTGCATGGATGGTGCAAATAGAGGTCTTTTCCTTGACGATTGGCTTAAAGGGAAGCATGTAATCATGCGTGCAAAATTTGAAATTGTTTGCAATGAGGTCATTCGATTGGCCGAGGATTAGGTCATGAGCGGATGCCTTGCACAAATCCTACTTCGCACTTTAAACATGCGTGAAAACATATCTATATTCAGTGAAGCTCGTGATTCTGTTCAGAAATATGACTTTGCTGTATGATAACCTGGAAACCTCTAGCGGGGGGAAGGGGGTTTATATTTGAAAGCTGAGTCAGTCTTTTGCCACAAATTATTCGAAGTCAGTTTTTCTGTGAAACTAGCTTTTTAAAAGGAATTTATTTATAATGATATTTTTACTATTACTAATGATATAGGGAAGATTTAAACAAAACTGACTGTAAAGAAAATTTGTATCACCATTCATTCTTTATTTGGGTTTTTATGTGAAGTTTATGTGGACAATATTGTAGTTGAAAGGTGAAAGCCGTACGCGTAGCTAAAAATGCCTTTCACTGAATCATCAGTTTGTTGCGGCGTGTGAAATTGGTTCGAACAATTGCAGTTACAGAATGTGTGAAAAATGTCTGCAGTCTTTTAAGGGCATCACCAACCACCAACATTATCTTCCTCTACGAATCAGCTTAATTATAGTTATAATAATAGGATCCCAGAAGATATAAGTATTATGCCGAGAAGACTCAAAATATGCGTAGGTTTGCCGAAGTTTTTAGGATTTAAACCCCCTGAAAACTATTGTTCTGCTCATATTGAAACTCTTTGGAAATATGTCAGGTTTTAAAATTGGCCAACGGGCTTCCTTTATCGAATACTACCTGTACATACTTGGCCATGACCTGATCTGTTTGTGACTCGCTTGTGAGCACGAGTGGTTTTGTAAATGCGGTGACCTGCTCGTGAGCGCAGTTAACAACAAGGTTGAGTGCGACTGCCCTTGTAGTTGCAAGGTAGCTCTGCAGCTGTACGTATCTCGCAGTTGCAGTGAAAAACTCTGGCAATGGAAAATGTTTTGGCAGCGCAAAGTTTTGTAATCCCAAAAAGCAGCACGATTTACAGAAAGGTAATTTCAGTCTTTACACCAAGCTGCTGTGCTTTGACTCTACGCCTAATCTGACGTTCAAATTGTTCTTTTCGCGCTTCTGTTGTTTGTTAAAGTTGAGGACACGGTAGCTGGTTTTTCGCAAACCAGTGCTAGTTAGACGGTTCGCAGTATACAAACATTTAACTTAATCCATAGGCCGCATTTCTCAAGTTATGGTTACTATGAAACCAGAACGTATCTCTTGATCAATGAAAATGTTTTTACATGAGACTTGTTAATTGCTTTATTGATTATCTGTCAAGGCAAATTGAATGCCCGTTGCTAGTCTTAATGGTTTGCATTTCCTCAAGAAGCATTATATTTCTGTCTTTATTTTTCTATACCAAAAAGAATGTGGACAGAACTTATGCATAGAACTTCAATTTATTGTAAGTTCTTTTTGATGTACCAATGCAAGTGATGTTTAATAAGTTGATATACAATGTATTTATTTTTTATTGATTTGTAAAGGAAAACGATAGTACACTATGTCTTCCTACAGGTCTGGAGTGTTTCTCGCTCGAAGAATTGCAAACATTAGCAGGAGAAATCAGACTAGCTCGTAATACTCTGTCAGAAAGCTTGGTGAAAGAACTGAAGTTGAAAGATGAGTTGTGCCGAGAAAGGGAGCGAAGAGATAACTTCATATCATTGCTTCTGGTCATCAGCAGAAAACAGAAATCCCAAGAGGTTTCGCAGGCGAATCGTCGCCAGAGGATTCTATTTCACGTGACAAGCAATGCAGACAACAGTGACAATAAGGTATGTGTGTGAGCAAGTAGATCTCTTTTGCGCAAGCTTGCATTTAGAACGAGCCCATTAAGAAGTGATTTTTCGAAATCCACGTCACGTTTTAGGTATTTTTGCACAAGCGAATTCCTTTTTCGGGCTGCAGACATTTTTTTCATTCTAGTTCCGTCGCTGAATTTTTCCACAAATTTGATGTGCATTTACTTGCTACTGACTCCCCAGGTGAATGTTTTGTTGTGAAAATTTACTTGCCAATATGGCGAGTTTTTCGCATATCTCTGACCTTCAAAAACTCCCAAACAACAATTTGCAGAAAATGTAGATGTAAGTATAGTGTTCTCGATACAAACGCTCTGTGAACGGGAATCGTACGTGCTTTGAATAGGTGCAATGCGTGACTAACATTTATCACAAATTTCGATTACGATGCTACTTTGATTAAACCAGGGATATGGCTAGGCGTCAAAATATGATTCGAGCCGAGAAAGCAGCATACGATCTGATTATCTTCACGATAATCTTTGCTCCAAAAATAAGAATTTAAGTTCATCTATTGGCTAGATACTGGGCAATCACCTTATGGCAATCGGGTCGAAATGCTGAAAGAAGTTTAACCTAGAACTGACATTGAACGGAAAAAGAATCAAGTACTATCAAGCTGTTTTGTAGCTCTGCATCAAACCAATATAAAAAATAGCTTGTTCTTCGCTTGGTCATCGAAATCTGTTTTATGCAACTATATCTTTTGTCTAGCTAAAGTAAACACATTTTTGCGATTTAAGTCAACAAATTTTTAGTAAAAGTGCTGTCAGGTCTTTTACTAACGATTTTTTAATTTATTTATTTTCTCACATTACAATTTTCCTCATCACTCCTATTTAGTTCCTCAATGTATGCAGATAACGTATAGTCAAAACAGCTTGTTTTTCTTAACAGATGTGATCAACTAAAACAGAGCGAATAAAATAGGCAGCGCTACAAAGCGAATGTAAATGCGTAATATTATTATTAGTTATTGTGCGTAAGTGCAAGTTTATGGCTGACTGAGTGCAACCAAAATGTCTTTATTCGAAGTGCACTATAGATTTGCACGTACAGTAAATTATTTAGCTAAAAACGCGTGGTTTGAAACTTCGGAATTTTATAAACATTCTTCTTTTAGTTTTTAGATGTATCTATTCCGTATGTGCCAGCGGAGTATGGTCCTAGCCCAGAAGCGATTCGCTCGTTGACTACCAGTAAGTTTACTTGTCTAGCTATGTCTAAAGTTAAAAGACTCTCGATTTCTCGGTCTCGATTTCTTTGAAATTTTCGGTCTTCATTAGCGCACGTTTGTGTCGAAAGCTCGAATGCACGCAAGAAGAAATGATATAGATCTTCAAACTGAGGCAGGCTTATCCATCCACGTGGGCATGAGCATCTTTGTTGAAGTGGCTGTTGTCTAAGATCAGGTTACGGGAACCCAGTGATAATGTTTACATTGTTTCTACCACCCTCTTATTTAGCAAAGACAACAGAAACTAATAGAACAAACTCCAGTGTGTAATCTGTATAGGCTGAAAATCTACTTCTTGAACAATGTTTGGGATGGGGGCCTAACCCCACAGCCCCTCATGGTGTCCTGGTAATTTCGTAAAAAGTTGAATCCAGGGAAAAATCAAAAGGATGCTTGATTTTTAGGTGAGATATAAGTTGCTTTATTCGACCTTTCCGGTAGTTGTTCCATGTTAATCTCAATGCCAGTGAGATTTGCTCTTGCAAAGCTGGCATTTCATCTCAGGCTTTCAGAGTTTAATTCATCTTAAACAAATACCATATTAACCACTATTATCAAAGCTATTAAGGCAGGATTTCCATTAAGCAAATAAAGTTGTGCCGCAGTTGAAATTTCTCCAAGTCGTTTCTACTTGTTTCCTAGCTGTTTCTACTTGTTTCTTCTTGTTCCCTAATCGTTTCTACTCATTTCCCGTTATGATAACCACGTCTCATAGCTGAAAACCTATTTTGGATTGTATTTTCTGAAAAATATTTATCCATTTTTACCTCGTTGTTGTTTCTTCAGTCCTTCAAGCCATGTTGGATGAAGATCCCAAAGTACCAAGCCTAGTCACAGAGTACACCATGAATAGTAAGTATCCTTCCTTTCTACTTTCAAAGTAGCATTTTGTGTGCGCTGAAAGCATGATTTTCGTTTATCGTGTTCCGCAGGCATAAGTAAAAAGGACAATATTCCCTTTTCTTTTGGCTTTGAACGGGTCATCATACTGTTTTCATTTTTCACTTATTTCTGTATATTTTCAGTATGAGATGTATATTTATTCCTCTTTTGTTTCATTCTTATTGTCATTGTTTGTCATTGTCCGTATTTCCAACTTCTTAGTTATCAAAGAGCTGCAGGAAAGTTCTTAATTGGTGTGCCATCGTCAGGCTACTTACAAGTAATGGTAAGTCGCTTTGTTGTTGCTGTTTGATTTATGTATTCGTTTAGATCATTTTGTCCTGTCTAATTAACTATTCTTCATAATAGAATGGCCATTATTTTCATGTTCAGGTTTATCTTCATTTTATGCTTTTCTCAAGTGTATATGACATGGTTTGGGTAGCTATAAAATAGTTATGTCGACAAAAGTTATGAATTTTTATCAATACTACAAGCTTACGAAAAAAAACTATTTCGTTTGCTATTCTTGGAGCCTTTAAGATAATAGATGACAATTTTCATAAAAATTCCCACTTGCTTTGTATTAGGAAGGTTTATATCCGTTGCAAGTTCCAAAACAAGTTAGGTTCACGAGTTCAACGTTTTTCGTCGTTTTCTGTTACACGGCTGGCGTTTCTAGTCCTCTTACAAAAATAAACTTAAAGGCAGACAATCGGCTGTTTACGCAAGGCTATTTACCAACAAACAAGCAAACAAATAGTCAGATCAAAATGATCAATAATTGGTTTATGGGTTATTTTCGCACTTAGTGCGCCACCGGTCTCAACCTCTTTCTTCAAACAAAGCAGCCAAATTTGCTAGCCGAGGTGCCTTATCTGTTAAAGCTGTAATTAATTTTAATTAATGATGATGACAACTTTAATTAATAGACTGGCCGTTTTTCACCTACCCAATTTGTAGAGGGATGAGCCAATCGTTGCTCGAATGCTTGGGCACCTTTTTGTTTAGAAGGAAAATTCGTATATTAATTTCTACGTTCTTTATGCGATGCTTTAAACAATATGACCTGCTACAAAAACGCCTATCTTTAACCTCTTTATTTAGGCGTGTACCACAATGTCAGTTATCTCCATGGTAAAGGCATTGGTGCATTGTGGCATTTTATCCCGGAGTATCCTCTGGTTTGCAGATCAAAGTCAACCCTAAAATCAGGTTTGCAGACCAGAGTTCAAATTTTCATAGATTCTTGATAAACAGTAATATCAGTGCTTTGATATAATCCGAAATGTCGATTATGTTAAATGTTGATTCTGAAGGTTTTCAGTGATTTCCTGTCATTTCACAAGAAAACAGGCAAAGATGACGAAAATTAGACTAGAAAACATCCATTGACCACCAGTTTAACGATTTTGCTCTTGGTTGAAGTTGCGGTATACAAATTTCAAGAGACAGTTTTAGCAAGCATGCTTCAGTCGTGGATAAGGCTATTTTGAGTCATATTTTTCCACAAAGAGAGAGAGTCACTAATGGATCTGGAGTTGCATCTCTGTTTGATCTAGAATTCTGTACAGCTCAGCAACAAGCGTCGTTTCTGAATAATATCAGTGTTTAAATCGGTTGTTTGATTTGGAGTCAGGGTAGTTATATCTTAATTATACGAGCTCTTCATCTCTGCTCCTGTTTCACAACGAGTGATCATGATACTAGTTATTTCAAATTGAAAGAAGAAAATATTTGTTAAGTCTTGCAAGAAACAGACAAAGGGATCGGTTGGTAGGGTTGGACACAAAGTTCTGCTTTTCTACTCTTTGTAAAACACCTTGCCCAAAAGAATTTATGATTTTCTGGGTTGACATCTGAATTAAAAATGACGGCCGTATCGATGCTGCTTTTGGATTGTGTTTAAGAATAATCATACGACGTTTGACTGACAACAGCTTGGCAGACCGATAATTGCTAGTCATTGATCAACAAACAGTGAAATTAGCAGTTACATCAACAAATGGTAGCTGTAAAGGCTTTGGTAATTGGTTACGTACCATCTACGTTTTCTGTCAAAATTGTGGCATGAAATGATCTTGCAAATCAGGTGGACATGCTTTGGGTACCATCCTTATGACCACTGGAAGTTTACTTTTGCTATTGGTATCACACTTACTTTCTCTCTTTCTTCGCCGTTTCATAGGCACTACCCAGAAAGAACTTTAATTTGACATTACATATTGCATTGCGCAAGCCAAAGCGTGGCTAGTACGTAGACATCACCAGACCTGACTACATCATTACAATCCAAATTCATCGACTTGAACCGGACTTGACGAACGTTACTCTTGCAGTGGCCTAGATCAATCTAGACCAAAACAAGCTCACTTGGACTCGACTCGAAAAGTTCTAAGACTTCACATTGTTTAGTGTTCACCAGATATTTAGTTATCCGCAGCTTCAATTTTTCGTTGACTAGTGAAAGACAAGAATTTTACAATGACATTACAAGGAAATGAAGTTCGAATAAATCTTGACCTTACTTAACAATTTACAACGCCAATTTGTGACTTCCATGCGACTAGGAATGAACAAGGCGTCCCAAACAATATCTAAGTTTTCAAGAAAGCGAGACATGGCTATTCTAATGACTTAATATGACTTTGGCAAACCAAAATTTGACAGTTACTTTAACCATAAGCAACATTTACGTTTCTTGATCAAGGATAAACTTTGCTATCGTTCCCCATGCATATTATGTAAGGGGCTAGATGTTAAATCGGTCTTTGTAGTTCCCAAATGACAAACACTTAGTGACAGCTACTTTGACTTATTCTTAAATACAGCTATTAGTTGACAAATACTTCATCTGACTGTAATATGACGTCCTATGAACGTATCTTTCCAGAAAACCCAAACCAGGTCTGACCATTGTATGTGAATATTGGACGCCCTTTTGGCTGGACGGAGACTAGACCTTCTCAAAGGCCTTGCTTGACTGACATTCTTCCTGAAACTCCTATGATTTTGACGGTACTTGTACATTTTAGCCAGACATGACAATTCCATTGACTCATTTGTGACTTTTTTCAATTTGACTTGACCACTCAACAGTATTCTTGCTTATTTACCAACATACTGCTTGACCTACAATAGACTTTGCGGTTTCATGATCATATCTTGACCTAATATTTGCTAGTGCTTGATTTGACTTGTGCGCTCCCCTGATCAAGACAAGCGGTTTTGTTCGTGGAAACAAGACCCAATAAATTCTGGGACCTTTTTGTAACTCTAGTTTTGAAATAACCAATACCGAAACGTGACTTTGACAGCGACATTGACTTGGCGTACAGATAAAAAAATACAGTAATTTGATGACGATTACTTTGACTTCTTCCTAAATACTGTTATTAAATGACAAATTCCAGACAGAACTTTTAAATTGACATCGTCTGAACGTTTCTTTGAAACAAAACCAAAAAACGAACCTGACCATTGTATTTGAATATTGACTAGGACGTCTTTTTTGACTTGACAGAATGTTGACGTGCCTTTTTAATTGGCCTTACTTGACTGACATTCTGCCTGCAACTTCTTTCATTTTCACGATACTTGTATATTTAGTCAAGACATGAATTTTCTATTAACTTATTTGTGACTTGCTAAATTTATTTATTAGTTGACAAATACTTCACCGGACTGTAACATTGACGTCAACTGTACGTTTCTTTTAAACAAAGCCGAAAAAGCAGATCTGACCCTTTAATCAGAAGGTCTTTCGTGACTTGACAGAAGCAAAACGGGCCTTTTTCATAGGCCTTACCAACTAAAATTTTTCATGAAACGTCTTTAATTTTCACGATACTTGTACAGACAGCCATTACAATACAGTTACAGTATGTACAGATACAAATACAATACGTACAGATACAAATACAATATGTACAGGAGCAGATACAATATGTACAGATACAAATACAATAGGTACAGATACAAATACAATACATACAGATACAAATACAATACGTACAGGAGCAGATACAATACGTACAGATACAAATACAATAGGTACAGATACAAATACAATACGTACAGATACAAATACAATACGTACAGATACAAGTACAATACGTACAGATACAAGTACAATACGTACAGATACAAATACAATACGTACAGATACAAATACAATCCGTACAGATACAAATACAATATGTAAAGATACAAATACAATATGTACAGAGGCAGATACAATACGTACAGATACAAATACAATACGTACAGATACAAATACAATATATACAGATACAAATACAATATGTACAGATACAAATACAATACGTACAGATACAAATACAATACGTACAGATACAAATACAATACGTACAGATACAAATACAATATGTACAGACAGCCATTTTCACGATAGCCAGACATTTCCTTACCATTGACTCATTTGTGACTTATATTTCACTTGACCATTACAACTGACTTGACCGTGACTTTTCGTAATTTATTTTAAATTGTAATATACATCTTATAGGATTACATGAGTCAAAGCATGACAAGAAATTGCTCATTTTAACGAACATGACAAACTTTCTTATCAAAAGCTTTTTTATCAATATTTACGTTTGTTTATCGCTACCCTCGAGCATCTTTGTGTATGTTGCTTCTTCTTTACAATGACGAAAATCCGTTATATCCATTAAAACATCTTACAGTAAGACAGCACCAGACAAATAACTGCTCATTTTAGGGTACATCACGAATACTCAACATCAAGAGCTTTTTCCTCAATATCTTCCCAGCTTCCAACTTAAGCCTTTTTTCCTAAGAGATTGTCCTTTCACAAAGACAAAACTGTAATATATCTATTTAAACATCTCACATGACGTGAGAGCCGACAAGACAAAATCCTGCTCATTTTAGAAGACACGACGACAATATTTTCTCAACTCAAGCATTTTTCCTACGGTGCTGCTCTTTTACAATTACAAAACTGTAATATATCCATTTAAACATTTCACATGATGGCGTAAGAGACGACAAGACAAAATACTGCTCCTTTAGAAGACATGGCGACTCTTTAACATCAAGAACTTTTCCTCATTATCTTCCCAACTCCAGCATTTTTTCTACGGGGCTGCTCTTTTACATTCACAAAACTGCAATATACCCATTTAAACATTTGACATGATGACATAAGAGACGACAAGACAAAAAACTGCTCGTTTAGGGGATAGGAGGACTCGTTAACATCAAGCACTTTTCATCATTATTTTCCCAACTCCAGCATTTTTCCTACGGTGCTGCTCTTTTACAATTACAAAACTGTAATATATCCATTTAAACATTTCACATGATGGCGTAAGAGACGACAAGACAAAATACTGCTCCTTTAGAAGACATGGCGACTCTTTAACATCAAGAACTTTTCCTCATTATCTTCCCAACTCCAGCATTTTTTCTACGGGGCTGGGCTGCTCTTTTACATTAACAAAACTGCAATATACCCATTTAAACATTTGACATGATGACATAAGAGACGACAAGACAAAAAACTGCTCGTTTAGGGGACATGACGACTCTTTAACTTCAAGAACGTTTCCTCGTTATCTTCCCAACTCGAGCATTTTTTCTATGGGGCTGCTCTTTTACATTAACAAAACTGCAATATACCCATTTAAACATTTGACATGATGACATAAGAGACGACAAGACAAAAAACTGCTCGTTTAGGGGATATGACGACTCTTTAACATCAAGAATTTTTCCTCATTATCTTCCCAACTCGAGCATTTTTTCTACGGGGCTGCTCTTTTACATTCACAAAACTGCAATATACCCATTTAAAAATTTGACATGATGACATAAGAGACGACAAGACAAAAAACTGCTCGTTTAGGGGACATGACGACTCGTTAACATCAAGAACTTTTCCTCATTATCTTCCCAACTCCAGCATTTTTTCTACGGGGCTGCTCTTTTACATTCACAAAACTGCAATATACCCATTCAAACATTTGACATGATGACATAAGAGACGACAAGACAAAAAACTGCTCGTTTAGGGGACATGACGACTCTTTAACATCAAGAACTTTTCCTCATTATCTTCCCAACTCCAGCATTTTTTCTATGGGGCTGCTCTTTTACATTCACAAAACTGCAATATACCCATTTAAACATTTGACATGATGACATAAGAGACGACAAGACAAGGGACTGCTCGTTTAGGGGATATGACGACTCTTTAACATCAAGCACTTTTCCTCATTATCTTCCCAACTCGAGCATTTTTTCTATGGGGCTGCTCTTTTACATTCACAAAACTGCAATATACCCATTTAAAAATTTGACATGATGACATAAGAGACGACAAGACAAAAAACTGCTCGTTTAGGGGACATGACGACTCTTTAACATCAAGAACTTTTCCTCATTATCTTCCCAACTCCAGCATTTTTTCTACGCGGCTGCTCTTTTACATTCACAAAACTGCAATATATCCATTTAAAAATTTGACATGATGACATCAGAGACGACAAGACAAAAAACTGCTCGTTTAGGGGGCATGACGACTCTTTAACATCAAGAACTTTTCCTCATTATCTTCCCAACTCGAGCATTTTTTCTATGGGGCTGCTCTTTAACATTAACAAAACTGCAATATACCCATTCAAACATTTGACATGATGACATAAGAGACGACAAGACAAAAAACTGCTCGTTTAGGGGATATGACGACTCTTTAACATCAAGAACTTTTCCTCATTATCTTCCCAACTCGAGCATTTTTTCTACGGGGCTGCTCTTTTACATTCACAAAACTGCAATATACCCATTTAAAAATTTGACATGATGACATAAGAGACGACAAGACAAAAAACTGCTCGTTTAGGGGACATGACGACTCTTTAACATCAAGAACTTTTCCTCATTATCTTCCCAACTCGAGCATTTTTTCTATGGGGCTGCTCTTTTACATTCACAAAACTGCAATATACCTATTTAAACATTTGACATGATGACATAAGAGACGACAAGACAAAAAACTGCTCGTTTAGGGGATATGACGACTCTCTAACATCAAGAACTTTTCCTCATTATCTTCCCAACTCGAGTATTTTTTCTACGGGGCTGCTCTTTTACATTCACAAAACTGCAATATACCTATTTAAAAATTTGACATGATGACATAAGAGACGACAAGACAAAAAACTGCTCGTTTAGGGGATATGACGACTCTTTAACATCAAGAACGTTTCCTCATTATCTTCCCAACTCCAGCATTTTTTCTACGGGGTTGCTCTTTTACATTAACAAAACTGCAATATACCCATTTAAACATTTGACATGATGACATAAGAGACGACAAGACAAAAAACTGCTCGTTTAGGGGATATGACGACTCTTTAACATCAAGAACTTTTCCTCATTATCTTCCCAACTCGAGCATTTTTTCTATGGGGCTGCTCTTTTACATTCACAAAACTGCAATATATCCATTTAAAAATTTGACTTGATGACATAAGAGACGACAAGACAAAAAACTGCTCGTTTAGGGGACATGACGACTCTTTAACATCAAGAACTTTTCCTCATTATCTTCCCAACTCGAGCATTTTTTCTACGGGGCTGCTCTTTTACATTCACAAAACTGTAATATATCCATTTAAACATTTCACATGATGGCGTAAGAGACGAGAAGACAAAAGACTTGTCCTTTAAAAGACATGACGATTCTTTAACTTCAAGAACTTTTTTGTAACATATCCGTTAAAAAATTTCACATGGTGACGTCAGGGACAACAAGACAAAAAACTGCTACTTTAAGCGACGTGACGACTCTTTAACCTAAATATCGTTTTCCTCAATACCTCCCCAACTCGAGCATTTTTCCTACGGGGCTGCTCTTTTATAATGACAAAACTGCAATATATCCATTTAGACATTTCACATGATGGTGTAAGAGACGAGAAGACAAAAAACTGCTCCTTTAGGGGACATGACGACTCTTTAACTTCAAGAACTTTTTCTGTAACATATCCATTAAATCATTTCACATGATGACGTCAGGGACAACAAGACAAAAAACAGTCCTTTAATGGACATGACGACTCTTTAACTTCAAGAACTTTTTCTGTAACATATCCATTAAAACATTTCACATGGTGACGTCAGGGACAGCAAGACAAAAAACAGTCCTTTAAGGGACATGACGACTTTTTTACTTCAAGAACTTTTTCTGTAACATATCCATTAAAACTTTTCACATGATGACGTCAGAGACGACAAGACAAAAAACTGCTACTTTAAGCGACGTGACGACTCTTTAACTTGAAGAACGTTTTCCTCAATACCTCCCCAACTCGAGCATTTTTTTTACGGGGCTGCTCTTTTATAATGACAAAACTGTAATATATCTATTTGAACATTTGACATGATGATGTAAGAGACGAGAAAAAAAAACTGCTCCTTTCAGCGACATTAGATTCTTTCCCAACTTAAGAATTTTCCTACGGGGCTGCTCTTTTACAATAATAAAACTGCAATATACCCATGTAAACATTTGAAATGATGACATAAGAGACGACAAGACAAAAAACTGCTCTTTTAGGGGACATGACGACTCTTTAACATCAAGAACTTTTTCTTCAATATCTTCCCAACGAAAGCATTTTTGCTACGGGGCTGCTCTTTTACAATAATTAAACTGCAATATACCCATTTAAAAATTTGACATGATGACATAAGAAACGACAAGACAAAAAACTGCTCGTTTAGGGGATATGACGACTCTTTAACATCAAGCACTTTTCCTCATTATCTTCCCAACTCGAGCATTTTTTCTATGGGGCTGCTCTTTTACATTAATAAAACTGCAATATACCCATTCAAACATTTGACATGATGACATAAAAGACGACAAGACAAAAAACTGCTCGTTTAGGGGACATGACAACTCTTTAACATGAAGAACTTTTCCTCATTATCTTCCCAACTCGAGCATTTTTTCTACGGGGCTGCTCTTTGACATTCACAAAACTGTAATATATCCATTTAAACATTTGACATGATGATGTCAGAGACGAGAAGATAAAAAACTGCTCGTTTAGGGGACATGACAACTCTTTAACATGAAGAACTTTTCCTCATTATCTTCCCAACTCGAGCATTTTTCTACGGGGCTGCTCTTTTACATTCACAAAACTGTAATATATCCATTTAAACATTTGACATGATGATGTCAGAGACGAGAAGATAAAAAACTGCTACTTTAAGTGACATGACGACTCTTTAACATCAAGAGCTTTTTTTTCAAATCTTCCCAATTTTTAGCTCCCAACACAAGCTTTTGTATCAATGGGACTGCTCTTTTACAATGAGAAATGTGCGATATATCCATGTAAAATCTATCATGATGATGTGAGAAACGACAAGAGAAAAAACTATTATTTTAGAGGACATGACAAATCCTTAACATCAAGAGCTTTTTCTTGAAAATCGTCACAATGTTTAGCATCCAAGTCCAGCTTTTGTACCCATAAGACTGGTTTTTTACAATGTCAAAACTGTAATGGATCCATTTAAAAATGTCACATGACGATGTAAAAGACGACAAGACAGAGGACTTCTTATTTTTAGAAACCCGACAAATCCTTAACATCAAAAGCTTTTCCTCAAAATCTTTATGATGTTCAACTTCCAACTTTAGCTTGTTTTGCTATGAGACTGTTCTTTTTACAATGAATTAATTGTTATATATCCCTTTAAACATCCGACATGATGATGTGAGAGAGGACAAGACAGAAAACTACTTATTTAGAGGAAATGTCGGATTCTTTACCTCAAGAATTATTTCTTCAAATCTTTCCAATGTCTAGCCTCCATGTCCAGCATTTATACCTCCGGGACTGCTCTTTTACAATGAAAAAATAGTGATATATTCATTTAAACAGTTGACATTATGGGAAAAGAACGAAACATCAAAAGGTTTTTCCCCCATGTCTTCACTATGTTTTTCTTGTCAATACGAGGAGCTTTGCTTATGTGGCTGCTTTTTATATTTTCGAAACAGCGATCTGTTTTAATATCTTTTATGTTGACATGGGAGACGACCGGACAAAAGACTGCTCGTTTTAGGGGAGATGACGAGTCATTAACGTCAAGAGATTATCTATCAAAATCTTCACAATGTTCAACTTCCAACTTATGCCTTTTTTCATATGAGACTGCTCTTACAATGACAAAACTGTGATATTTAAACATCTGACATGACGAGGTGAGGCACGATTAGACCAGAAACTGCGAAACTGCTCATTTATCTGGACATGACGAATTGTTTAATCTTAAATGCATAAAGGTTTTCACTATGTTTAGCTTGAGCAACTTTCCCTATGTGCCATTTATACACAATTTCTCAATTTGATGAGAGACAGGACTACCAGTGAAGTTGTTTATTTTGCAGGACTTAACTAGTTTGTTTTCCATTTCAAACGTATTCAATGCTTTAATCATTGCCTATCTGCTAGCTGCTTTCTGAAAAATTCAGAAGTTCTTAGAATCAAAAAGAGCCATTTAACTTTTTGTGAGAGACATAGGTACTTGGGACCAGAGATGGCAGAAACCTATAGGACTTGGTTTTGGAGGAAGGTTTTAGTCAAAGACAATTTGTTGTATTTTTGGTATTACCTAGAGCCACCAAAAATCTTGTATGCTGTCTGATATGAAGAGGCTTGTTTTCAAATGCAAAAAGTCAGGCTGCAATGTTTGGTAAAATTAAAAAAATCTACAAGAAACTATTGATCTGTGTATGGACCTGTTTTTTGCCTGAAATGGTTATTGAATTTTTTCTGGACAGTGTAGGAAGTTTTTGGAAAGTGCCCTATGTCGTTTGAAAAAAATTGATGGTTGTTTTTTCTTGCATTTCTTTAAAATAGACGGGAAATATTTTTGTTGAATGATTTATCTTTTAATTTTTATCAAACGTAGGAAAATTTGTTGTTAAGCAGAGCTACTTTAAATGTTTTTTAAAACTCTAAATTTTTGTATGTCATGACGTTTAAGTTCATCTGTTCTTTTTCCTTGGTTTTTTATCTTTAGCTTTTTAAATACGCGTATGGGAGAATTTAGAAAATAGGGTTTGATGGCGAATTTAGGGTGTTTGTTAGACCACTGTATGAGCGTAAATATGTAAGTATACTATATTAACAGAGTCCTAAAGATAAATCTTCATTCCTGAAGAAACAATGCTACACAAATTTTTACCCTTGATTTGCAAGTGCGAGTTCATTTGATCTGTAAAACGAAGAAAACTTTTCTTTATAATGGATTATGAGCTCAGCATTTAAAATTTAAAAGGAAACCATCACTACATTTCCAATTTCTTTGGGGTTTTATAAATAGACTATATGCACAGTTTAATTATCTAGACTATTTCATTTTGTGATAGTCATTATCTAGAAAAAATTACTGTAAATAACATTTTATTAAATAACATTGTGTGGAAGTAAGAAATGTTGATTTAGTATTGTTAATTGTGAAAATTATCAAAAAATGATTTTAGCCTGAAAAATTTGAGTTCAACTGACATTGCATTCTTTCCTATGACACTCAGAATAAGAATTGGGATTTCTGCTTGGAAGCAACTGTAAAACAAACGATGATTATTTTCATGGCGTAATGGGCAGCAGTTGACAGAGCAAGCTAAAGGTCCTGCCTTTTATTAGTTCTGAAAAGATTTTGCTTGCTCATGTTTTAAATTTACTAGTAGAAATAGAAATCATTTTCTGACAGTTTATTCGAAAGACGACTCACAACATAGGCAAATATAGTTTTACACGTCTGAAAATCTTCCACGTTTTAAAAACCACGTGGAATAGTAATGGTTCTTTGTACAGTGTTTGTCCAATACCATCATATTCGCAACCAATTTTTTTGATAATCTTTTCAAACCAGTTGACCATTACAGCAAAATATGACAGTTTCGTCGATTTTAAAACAGTGTAGACAGGTCAGCATATTTGTACAGTTTATTGACCAAATCTTAGCAAACAGTTATAGGGGCTACCAGGTAAAATACCATTATTTTCAAGCCTTGGCTCCCCCAACGATCCTTGATTTCAATAAAACGATAGTCACAGTTTTAAAAACAAACTACTAAAAACTAGAACGACTGTTGTTAATTGAAGACACCATCAGAATTTATCTTCAGAACAGTCATTCAACAGTGAAACACAACTGATTTCGTCTGGGGCTCTTTTCAATGCAAGTGATGTTAATTTTATGGTTTGAACCCTCTGTAAAGCTTCTTTGCTGCATTCTTGTTTGGAGTAAAGATTTTTCAAAACAGGGCCTATTTTAGTGTGCTTTTTCCCACATTTTGTGGTGTTGGAAATCCAAAATGTGGTCTTGGAAATTCAAAATTGTGGAAATTCAAAATTGTGGAATGGGTTTTTTCATTTTAGCTATATCTTTGTTATAAACATGTTTTTCTGTTGATAGAGTTTTGAAACTTTATAACATAACAGAACAGAACAAAACATCCATGAATCGTAGCGCAAGTTCCTTGTTCCAGATTAATCTGGTCCAACAAGAGTGAAAAATGTTACAGCCAATCAGCTTTATGCTCGCAAATGGTGTAAAAGCCAATCAGAGCTTGTAAAAGACCCCTGAATCTAGCGACAATAACAACAATGGCGGCCAAACAGCCACCAAGCTGCGTGAAAATGCACTACAAACTTCGAACTGCTGCAAGCGAAAAATCTCAAGGCAAAATAAGTCTATGATTTTTTCAATATGTAAGGGTCGTTCTAGATTTTCAACGTGCGCATTTTAGAATTTTCTAAATTTTTAAATTTCTTGGCTCTGTGTCCAAGTCCTTCAATATTAGAATAAGTATGAATAATAGAGCTTCTAGCAATGTTAACCTTTAATTACTGTTACTGTCGGAGTCCATAAAGAATAGGCTATAATAGAAACATTTTTGTAATCGTGTTATGTTGAATATTTTTGTTTTACATAAATAAAGAAAAACGCTTTCTACGGCAACGGTCGATATCTTGAAATTCCATGCTTCATATACAGCCTTCTTTTCTTAAAGTGTGGTCTTGGAAAATTTCCATAAAATAGGCCCTGTTTTTAAAAGCTACACTACTGAACATTGGGAAGGCTTTTCAAGGCAGCGTAACTTTTGTGTTGAATTATCAAGAACGCAAGCAATAGTTTTCTAACAATTTGTTTATTCCTGACACTACTTACCGTCAATGGTTTTGGAAAACGGTAGAACCAGTCTTTTTCAACAAAATGGATCAAATTAAAGCATTATCCTCATTGAAAATGATATGGTAAATATTCAAAGACGCAGTTTGATTAAACTCAGAACATGGTTAACCATGCTACAAAAAAATTAAATATAAATTAACAGTTGATAAAAAAAAGCAGATAGTCAATATGAAATAGGTTAGGCCTAGTAAGAAATACACGAACAAATTAAAGTAGTAGAATAAACTGAACAAAACGAATATCTATGAAAAATGAAAGCTAATATAATTAACAATAACAAATTACTTACAATCTATTTGCCTCCGTAACTATATTGCATGACCAACTAACTGTACACGTGCCGCAACTTACAAGTCTTCCGCTTTAGAAAATGCCCTCCGCGTCTTTAAAGTGCTACTGAATTGAAAAAAATAAATTTTTTTATTGTTGATTCTGGTAGACTAAATCATTGCTTATTTCGAAAAAGTTTAGTTTTTTAATCTGGGGCCCACAAATAGGGGTTTCTAGGGTTCTTTTGCGAGTAGGTCGTGCGAAAAGAGGCTGGGGCGAGTGATGCATTAAGATTTATTGAGGGCTGTGAGAAGATAAAAAGTTATAAATTGTGTAAAACATGATACAAGCATGAGACGTGATAAAGATAGGCAGTTTGATACGCCGTAAAAGATAGGGTGTGAATAGACGTCGACAAATATCCCCTTATGCTATTTATAGACTGGGGTATTTGGTTCCAAACCTCTAAGCAGTAATTGCCATTATTTAACTTTTAGATCGCGATATCAGCATGGAACTTTGTAAAGA